TCCCCTTTCGCATAGCTCTCTGGATGTCAGCACCATCAAGGCTTCTGCTAGATTAGATTTCTCCCTTCCCTTCCTGTGACCCTGTACATGCCAGGAAATGGTGAGCAGGGCTTTGGCCCACTTACGGGCAGCCAAAGGGAATGGAGCCACCAAAGAGTTATCTGTGTCATTACTCCCTAAATAGTCATGAACTGACCAATGGCGGAGAAGAGATCAGCCATGCTTGCACTGTGCTTGGTCAAGTCAGTAGACTCATTACTAAAGTTCTGTACATGACCACACTCGCCAATAAAATTCCGCAGTTACACAATTTTCTGTGAAAAAGATAGCACTGTGGTAGTCTGACTGGTCATGGACAGAATGACCTGCTATTTTACATAATACTTCGTGTTTCCCGTCACAAAGTGAAAAGCTGTCCTTGGTGGTTTGTTACTTAATAATTCTGATATCATGGAGGAGAGGTTAAAAGTCAGTTCTCATGAATTAGCAAGAAACTACTAGGTACAAGCAGGAAAATGGAGGTAAGGAGAGTTTGCATCTTGCCAGACAGAAATAAAGCTGAAGCAATATTCTGTAAGAACAATTGTTTCTTTGATTATAACTATTATCAGCCCCAGAATCTCGATTGCTAAATGAATATAAGATCCACCCAGTCTAGGAATATTTAAGATGACAAGAAAAGAAATTGTGGAAAATAATTAAAACTTGTGCTGCGTAACCCAATTTACTGAACAGTTAACTTAGGTGTATGATAGTCATTTATAACAAACCATAAAGGTATACCTGGAGGTCTGAGGTAAAGAACTACTTACTGACAGGCACAGCTAAGAGGACAGGCTGTTTGGTCTAATTGAGATTCCTCTCTTCTATTTTTTGCAGTGCTCTAAGTCTGCTGAGCCTCTCCTGGTGGGCCCCCTGCCTTCTTGTCTCACCCCAGTCTATGCTGGTCCTGATGCATTTCTTTGAATGCAGAAATTCTCACTAGCAACATTGTTCAAATTTCACGTTTAGGTATCAATTCTAGAATCACTGTAAGGAGGCTTATAGTGTTAAAGGACTCTGTCAATGGCTGGTTGCTTATTAGCCCTCAGTGGCCTCTCCCTCTTATTTAGACTGGCCTGAGGTTCAGAACATTCTCCCTACTTCCTGCCACAGAGCAATTACACGTTTTTTGGTTTTTTTTTAGGGGAATGGCAACTACCACAAAACAAGACAGAAATATGGACTTTATGACCCTTCCTGCATTGCACCATAAAACTTTCACTTGCAGTGGTCAAGGGTGTTACTGTTTAACCATTTCATTTCATCACCAAGATGAGGGAGGCTGCAAGTATGCATTCAGGAGCCTTCAGTAACTATCTGAGCAGTTTTTCTGGGGTAGAATTTGTTGGAAGTAGTGACTTCAAGAATTGTTGCTGGGCTCTGATCACCATCTTTTCAACCCACAGAGATGAGTTTGAACATGGAGTAGAGAAGGAGAAAGGAAATGCCCAGAAAGCTACTTTGTGCCCATGAGAAAACAGTGCCCTCTTTTAGAGAATGAACCACTGAAAGATGCCCTCCCAGTGTGAACCAGTTTCTAAAAGGAATAGCATCTTGCAAGGCACAGAGTTTGGCCAGTGGAGCCTGGGCAAGATTTTGGTCCCTCTCAAGTCCTCTCAGTGGACAGCAGGGCACAGTCATTGAAGTTAACTTTAGAAGGAGGTCTTGGGACATCCTGGGTGCTATGACTCAGTTTTCTATATCAGGACAATTAGTTAAGATTATTACTAGCTGATGAGAGGAGCATCTCTACTATGTGCTTTAATAGTGAATATGGACAACAGCTCTCGGAGCCTGAGATTTTACAGATGTGGAAGCTGAGGCTGGGGTTAAGTATCTTGCTTGAGGTCAAGTGGGGCATCAGATTTTGATCTTTATCCTGCTGTTTTCATTATTCTTCTTCCCTGATTTATTTTTCTCCATAGCACTTGCAGCTAATACTAGGTATCTTACTCTTCATTTGTACATTGTCAGTCTCTCTCAAGTGAAATGTAAGTTGATGAGGGTGG